GACTTGGACTTTAGTAATTCCCCAGGTTCAGAGTCTTCTCATTACATGGGTATAATGTTTTTCATGGATCTAAGATCTGAAATTGGGGATAGCTTTCTTTTAGTCGACCCTTAAAGGGAAAAGGTTGCCTACCCCTGTCCTAGACACTGGTTTTGCCTGGGAGTAGTTCTGGAGGTCTTCACATTGACAGCATTGGTGAGGGATGTATTGCTGGGCACTTTTTCTTCGGTCACAGAAAAGTGCACCTGTATTTCTTGGTGAATTGTGCGCATGTTCCTGTGCTGAGACTATTTTGCTGGTACTGTGGCCAAATGCAAAAGCAAGAAGAGCTTTACCTCTAATAGTTGTGTAGGGGAGGGAATTTCAGCAAGTGAAGCTAGCTGTCCATTATGGAAAAATTGATAGAATCTGCATATCTCTATGAAAGGATAGTATACTCATAGTCTGTTAAAATCCATAGAATGACACAAATTGTGTAATGTGGCTTTTTATTTATGAGTCGAGATTGACTCGAGGGCAGGTAACAACAAATAATTTCTTGAATTGTAAGAAAAGATCATTGCAGCCACACAAATATCAAAATTGTCTGAAATTTACTGTGGTATTCCTTGTTGAAGAGCCAGTGTGGTGTAGTGGTTTTGAAGTCTGGACTATAACTCTGGAGACCAGGATTCGAATCCCCACTTGGGCATGGAAACCCACTGGATGTCCTTGGGCAAGTCACACACTTTTGGCCTCAAGGCAACGACAAATCCCTTCTGAATAAATCTTGCCAAGAAAATCCCACAATAGGTCTGCCTTATGGTTTCCCATCTGCAGCCCCTCCCCAAAAAAACCTCATGCTGTTTTTCTTCTTTGTTTGAGGGTTTTTATGCTGTCTAGAAATTTGATTCTGAGGGTCAGTTTGTGCATTTGCCTTAGTGAAGTGATAAAGATATTGCTGAACTACAGCATTTTAAGGGCTGCAGGTGAGGGCCTTCCATCTGTAACATTCTCTACTTCTTTTCAATAGCCTTGCAATATAGCCACTGATTTATTTGTATTCTGTGAGGAGGGCTACTACAGTAGTATCAGAGTTATATACTCAGCCTTGAGATCATTGGAAGAAAATTGCAATAGAAATGTGAAGAATGGATAAATAGTTTGAGTTTCATGAACTGCAGTTGCAAGCATACTGATGACTGTCGAGTAAGCATTGCTGAGATTGAAGGTATTTATTCCTGGGTAGCCATGTTTTGAGAGTCAGTGTAGTGGTTTCAGCATTGGACCAAGACTCTGGGAAGCCAGGATTCAAATCCTACCTTGGCCATGGAAACCCATAGGGTGACCTAGTGCAAATCACAGTCTCTGTGCTTCAGAGGAAGGCAAATGCAACTCTTTTCTGAATAA